CTATCAGTATTGGTATTATTATTGGTATTGGCGTAATTGTCGTATACATCTTATCTCTTTTGCAATATTTATAAGTTGTGTTGTTGTTTGAGTAATGTGAACACTAATTTAATGTTGTTAGTGATAAACTTGCAGGTTATTTGAATATCTATTGTGTTACCTCTATGCTACTGTGTTCGTTGTTAAGTTAGTTATTTTGCAGATGATTCACATGGTGTAGTAGATTGCATTCCATGAAATAGAGTTATACCATATGTTTTAAATTATTTCACTTAATCTTCATATCGTGCTTTGCGCCGTTCGCGTATTTTTCTTTGCAATATTTAATTGAATTTCATATGTTATTACTCTGAATTAAGAGATAATTTTTTTTTCATTTCCTTCCATTTTGTTTTACTTGAATTGTTGTTGTTATAAAAAGATATTCGTTTAAATATTATTATTTTTTTCATTTTGAAACTGATATTCGTGCAACGCACGGGTGAAGTACTAGTTGGATTATGATTTATGATTCAAATCTTGCGATTCAATTCATTCATACCTGACTCGATTCAAATGTCAAAATAAATTTTTAAATATAATCAAATCGATCAAATTTTACGGTTTACGATTACCAATTTGGTTTTGGGAGAAAATGAATGAATTTACGAAAAATTTAATTTATTATATTATTTATATCATAAACTTGGGATAATTACATATTTGGTCCCTATATTACATACATTTTTTTTGAAATTTTGGTCCATAAATAAGAAATGCAACCCAAGTGGGGGTCAATTTAAAATTTCTGGAAATCCACTCCCCTGACTGAAACAGTTTTCCTTTTCCTTTTGGTCCTTAAACCATAAATGCACCACTCAATTTGAAATTTATGGAAATCTAACTGCCTGGCTGAAATGTTTTTGAAAATTACAGAATCATCCCTATACTGACTCCCATCTTCCCAGCTGCTCCACCTAAATTGCAAATTTAACCCCAAAGTGCATCTCTCTTGCAATATCAGAAATATCCGCCACCAACGCAGTATGCTTTTATTCCTCCGCAGCTATAATCGCGCGTGACTCATTTACGAAAATTCCCAATACCGAGTTTAAAATCTTATGATTTACGATTAATATCTTACTATTCAAACCGTTCATACCTAAGTCGATTCAAAAGTTCAAATAAATCTTAAATATCAACAAAACAATCAAATTTTACAATTTACGATTTAGGAAAACTATAATTTATTATATTATTTATAATAAATTTGCGAAAATTACAATTTTTGTCCCTATATTATATACAGTTTTTTATTTTGATCCTTAAACCGGAAATGCCCCCAAGTTGAGGTCAATTAGTAATTCCTGAAAATCCACCTCTCTGAAATAGCTTTGAAAATTGCAGAATCACCCCTATACTTACTCCATCTTCCTAGCCGCTCCACCCAAATTGCAAATTTGCCCCAAAGTGGATCTCTCTTTCAACATCCAAAATGTCCGCCACATTTATGAAAGTTCGCATTTCCGAGCATAAAATCTTATGATTTACGATTCAATTCATCTATATCTATGTCGATTCAAATGTTAAAATAAATCTCAAATATCAACAAATCGATCAAATTTTACGAATTTTGGTCCCTATACAATATACCTTTTTATTTTTATTTTTTGGTCCTTAAACCAGAAATGCACCACAAGTGGGGGTGAATTTGTAATTTCTGGAAATCCACTTCCCTGGGTGAATTTTTTTTGAAAATTGCAGAATCACCCCTATACTTATTCCATATTCCCAGCCATTCCACCCAAATTGCAAATTTAACCCCAAAGTGGATCTCTCTTGCAATATCCGAATTATCCGCCACCAATGCAGTATGCTTTTACTACTCCTCAGCTATAAACACGTGTGACTCATTTACGAAAATTCGCAATACCAAGTATAAAATCTTATGATTCACGATTCAAATCTTACAATTTAATTCGTTCATACCTAAGTCAATTCAAAAGTAAAAATAAATCTAAATATCAACAAAACGATCAAATTTTACGATTTAAGAAAACTATAATTTATTATATTATTTATAATAAACTTGCGATAGTTACAGCTTCTGTCCCTATATTATATACATTTTTTAATATCGGTCCTGAAATCAGAAATGCCCCCAAGTGGAGTTCAATTTTCAATTTCCGAAAACCCACCTCCCTAGCTGAAAAAGTTCTGAAAATTGCAGAATCACCCCTATACTTGCTCCATCTTCTTAGCCGCTCCACCCAAATTGCAAATTTGATCCCAAAGTGGATCTCTCTTTCACTATCCAAAATATCCGCCACATTTACGAAAATTCCCAATACCTAGCACAAAATCTTATGATTTACGATTCAAATCTTACGATTCAATTCATTCATATCTATGTCGATTGAAATGTTAAAATAAATCTTCAATATCAATTAATCGGTCAAATTTACGATTTTTGGTCCCTATATTATTATACCTTTTTTTTTTTTTTTTTTTTTTTAATTTTGTTCCTTAAACCAGAAATGCACCCTAGTGGGGGTCAGTTTGTAATTTCTGAAAATCCACCTCGCTGATTTAAACAGTTTTGAAAATTGCAGAATCACCCGTATACTTGCTCCATCTTCCCACCAGCTCCACCCAAATTGCAAATTTAACCCCAAAATGGATCTCTCTTGCAATATCCAAAATATCCGCCACCAAAGCTGTATACTTTTACTACTCCTCACCTATAAACGCGTGCGACTCATTTACGAAAATTCGCAATACCGAATATAAAATCTTATGATTTACGATTCAAGTCTTACAATTTAATTCGTTCATACCGAAGTCATTTCAAAAGTAAAAATAAATCTTAAATATCAACAAAACGATCAAATTTTACGATTTACGATCTAAGAAAACTTTAATTTATTATATTATTATAATAAACTTATGATAATTACAGATTTGGTCCCAATATTATATATCATTTTTAATTTCAGTCCTTAAACCGGAAATGCCCCCAAGTGGAGTTCAATTTGTAATTTCCGAAAATCCACCTCCCTAGCTGAAATAGTTCTGAAAATTGCAGAATCACCCCTGTATTGCCTATACTTGCTCCATCTTCTTAGCCGTTCTACCCAAATTGCAAATTTGACCCAAAAGGGGATCTCTCTTTGACTATTCAAAATATCTGTCACATTTACGAAAATCCGCAATACCGAGCACAAAAATTTATGATTTCAAGTCTTACGATTCAATTCATTCATATTTGTGTCGAATGAAATGTTTTAATAAATCTTAAATATCAACTAATCGATACAAAATTACGATTTTTAATCCCTATATTATTATACCTTTTTTTTTAATATTGTTCCTTAAACCAGAAATGCACCCCAGTGGGAGTCAATTTGTAATTTCTGGACATTTACCTCGCTGACTGAAACAGTTTTAAAAATTGCAGAATCACCCCTGTTCTTACTCCATCTTCCCACCCGCTCCACCCAAATTGCAAATTTAACCCCAAAGTGGATCTCTCTTGAAATATCCGAAATATCCGACACCAACGCAGTATCCTTTGACTCCTCCTCATCTATAATCGCGTGTGACTCAGTTACGAAAATTCGCAATACCGAGTTTAAATCCTTATGATTTAAGATTCAACTCTAACGATTCAATTCGTTCATATTGAAAAATTAAAATAAATCTTAAATATCAACAAAACAATAAAATTTTACGATTTACGATTTAAGAAAACTTTAATTTATTATATTATTTATAATAAACTTATGATAATTACAGATTTGGTCCCTATATTATATACCATTTTTAATATCGGTCCTTAAACCGAAAATGCTCCCAAATGGAGGTAAATTTGTAATTTTCGAAAATCCACCTCCCTAGCTGAATCAGCTCTGAAAATTGCAGAATCACCCCTATACTTACTCCATCTTCTTAGCCGCTCCACCCAAATTGCAAATTTGACCCCAAGTGGATATCTCTATCACTATCCAAAATGTCCGCCACATTTAGGAAATTTCGCAATACCGAGCAAAAAATCTTATGATTTACGATTAAAATCTTACGATTCAATTCATTCATATCTATGTCGATAGGAATGTTAAAATAAATCTTACATATCAACTAATAGATCAAATTTTACGATTTGTGGTCCCTATATTATTGTACCTTTTTTTTTATTTTGTTCCTTCAACCAGAAATGCACCCAGTGGGGGTCTGTTGGCACCGGATTTCCACGAAGGAAGAAATCCGCCTCACTTGGGAAGTAAAGATTGGCTAAAGATTTGTTCCCATGTTTATTTTGGAAATATAGAGTCCTACCTTTGTAATACTTTAGGACTTAGATTTATTTCCTAGTACTTTATTCTTGTTAGGAATCTTTTATGGTTATCTAGATTAGAACTAGATATTGACTAGGATTCTGTTTCCTAGTTATTCGATTCCTTTGGAAGACAGGTCTTTGGAGGCCCATCTCACGCCTATATAAGGCTCCTCACCTCACAAAGACCGTGACACTTTTTTGGGAGAAAAATCACTCCGTTGCTTTGAAGAATCGCTGAAACGTTCTGCTGAACAGAACTGTGCCATCGTTGGATGTGTCAACATATACAGATTGGCTGTATAGATCTCTTGGGAGATCAACCGCGTCACTGAAGGGAGTTCAGGCCACAAAGGAGTTCTAGGCACGCGGTGTGGAGCTGCTGTTGGAAGAAACACGAAGTTCGAGTTGTGTACAAGAACGGCATATTACATAAAGAGGGAGTCTTTAGTGTTTTTAATAAGTCCTATTAATGTACACTGTAAATCTGAACTAGTGAAATCGTGTTTGCAGATCCACGTGGATGTAGGGCACAATTGTGTCTGAACCACATTAATTCTTGTGTTTTGTTTATTTACTTTAAGTAGAGTATTACTGTGACAACACAAGATTTATAGTTGTAACTGTATACTGTTTCTACAACTTAACTGTTACAACTTAGATCAACTGATTTCTATAGGCATATAAATCAACAATTGGCATCAAGAGCCTCTCACTAGATATACATAGTGTGTGATTTTGGGAATTTGATTTATTTGCCATTTATTATTCGTAGGTACTATGAGTTCTCATATGGAAGGAGGTTCCACGACTCGCCCACCACTACTCACGGGAACCAACTACTCCTATTGGAAGACTAAGATGAAGATGTTCATAAAATCAATGGATGAAGATGCATGGCGAACAGTGTTAACTGGATGGAAGCGACCCGTTGCCACAGATGAGAAAGGGATTGAAACTGAGAAGCATGAGAAAGACTGGAGCAAAGCCGAACAAATTGCAGCAAACATGAATTCCAAGGCCTTGAATGCTATATTCAATGGAATTGATATCAATCAATTCAAGATAATCTCTGCGTGTGAGTGTGCTAAAGAAGCATGGGAGAAACTCCAAACAGCGTACGAGGGAACTGCTTCAGTCAGACTGTCCAAACTTCAAATGCTTGCCACCCGGTTTGAGGATCTTCGTATGGAAGAAAATGAGACCGTGAGCGAATTCAACTCCAAATTATGTGACATATCAAACGAAGCTCATGGCCTTGGTGAAACTTATCCTGAAGTTAAACTTGTACGAAAAGTGCTCAGATCCATGCCAGACAGATTCGCGTACAAGATCACTGCCATAGAGGAAGCAAGTGATGTGGACTCATTGCGACTTGAGGACCTGATTGGAAATCTACAAACTTTTGAAAACAAGTTGAACATCAGCAGAATGGACAAGGAAAGGAAAATCGCCCTGCAGTCTGTATCGGACACCACAACATCTGTGCCTACTGCTCCTATGTCAGCACTTGAAGTCAAGCTCACAAAATCCATGTCCTTAATAGCAAAAAATTTCGGAAGATTCATCAAGAAAAATGGACATCCTACAAACTCTGAGAGAAAACCCAGGACATCTACAGATAAGCCAGAAGTCAAGAAGGGAATTCGATGTAGAGAATGTCATGGTTATGGTCATATCCAAGCAGAATGTGCTAACACACTAAAAAAACAAGGAAAATCACTTGCCACAACTTGGAGTGATGACACCTCAGAGTCACCAAGGATTTGTTGAAATATTGGCAGGACTATGATGGTGAAAGAGCAAAAAGGGTGAATCACAGAAGCCACACTTGAGGACATCACGTGCGCAGAACCGCCACATCTCAGGTATGTCACACAGGAAAATGAAAATTACGAAAATCTAAATATGTCTTTTCTGGCCACAGGGAGTGACGAATCAGAAGGTGAAGGTGAAGAGTCCATCCAACAATTTCAAAAACAATTGGATGATCTCCTGAAGCAATGTCATGAAGTTAGTAATGAAAATAAACTCCTGAAAGAAAGAATCAAAGAACAAGAGGAAGAAAACAAAGGAGTTATCACAAAACTGAATGACAGGATTGATGAACTTGAGATGGAGATTGAAGTCTTTGAAGTGGAACAAGACTTTGCACAAAGAGACATCGACAATCTCAAAGATTTGTTGAAATATTGGCAGGACTATGATGGTGAAAGAGCAAAAAGGGTGAGGAAAAATCTTTTTCCAAACGTACATGCTAATGATCACCAAGATGTTTCACCGCCTGTTAGCACAGTGTTTGATGCCTCTGTCAGTAAGTTAAATCGCACTGCATTTCTTCCCTCTAATAGATTAGATGAAATCATAAATGCTCATCCTTCCAATTCCAAAAGAATTGGGTTAGGGTATACTGATGGACAATCTAATGCTAACACTGGGTCAAACTAAAAAATCAGATTTGTCAATTCCACATCTTCTTGTGTGAACAACCAAACCTATCCTACTAAGTTTATTCCTATCTGTCACTTCTGTCACAAAATAGGGCATGTTAGGCCTAAATGCTTTAAAAGATGGAAATTGATAAATAAACAGTTAGCATATCAGACATCCAAATCCGCTGCGTGGGTTACTTACTCTCAAAGTAACAACTCTCATAAACAAAGGATGACAAATGATAGTACTAACTGCTGGTCAGCTATTTTATCTTTAAATGCATGTGCTACTAACTCTTGGTATTTTGACAGTGGATGCTCCAAACACATGACAGGTGAAAGGAATTTCTTATCAAATCTGCATAACATGTCTAGTGGACAGGTTACTTTTGGAGATGGAAATAAGGCTTATGTAAGGGGAAAAGGAGACTTAAATGTTGGAGGGTTGCCAAACTTGAACAATGTTCTGTATGTGGAAGGTTTGAAATCAAATCTTCTGAGTGTAAGTCAGTAGTGTGATCTATACGACTCTGTATTGTTCACAAAGCGTAAGTGTGAAGTATTTGATGAAAGCAAAAATTGTGTTCTAACTGGATACAGGTCATCAGACAATTGCTACAAAATTGATCAGATTGACAAATCGGATCATTGTCATCACACTTCTTCTGATCTCACTGATCTCTGGCATCATAAACTAGGTCATTTAAATTTTCATGATCTAATCCGTCTTGTTAATACAGGTTGCGTGAAAGGGATACCCCAACTGAAGACTGACACACCTGAGTCATGTGGTGACTGTCCTCTGGGAAAACAAGTACGGACATCTCACAAGAACACAGATCATGCAGGGACTAGCAGGACCTTGGAACTCATTCACATGGATCTAATGGGACCAATGCAAACCGAGAGCATTGGTGGAAAAAGGTATGTTCTAGTTTGTGTTGATGATTTCTCAAGGTTCACTTGGGTACGCTTCATTAGGGAAAAGTCAGATACCTTTTATGAGTTCAAAACTCTGTGCAAGAAATTGCGAATTGAAAAATTCAGCAATATTGGAAGAATTCGAAGCGATCATGGGAGAGAGTTTGAAAATTCTTCATTCACAAAATTTTGTGATAAACACGGTATCTCCCACGAATTCTCAGCACCAAAGACACCACAGCAGAATGGTGTGGTAGAAAGAAAGAACAGAACTCTCCAAGAAATGACTCGCGTAATGCTCATCTCAGCAAGAGTGGCCACAAAGTTCTGGGCTGAAGCTATGAGCACTGCCTGCTACACCATAAACCGTGTACACCTCAGACCAGGTACCAAGAAAACTCCATATGAAGTATGGAAAGGTAAGAAGCCTAACTTAAGTTACTTTCATGTCTTTGGGTGTGAATGTTACATCCTGAACGATAGAGAACAACTCGGTAAGTTCTCTGCAAGAGGAGACAAAGGTACCTTTCTTGGTTACTCTTTAAACAGCAGGGCATATCGCGTTTATAATGAACGTACAATGACTGTTATGGAATCCATTAATGTAACATTTAACGAAGTTTTATCTGCAGAAATGGATGAGGAAGACGCTAATCCTGGAAAAACCATTGTACCAGTACAAACGCCAGGCGTCAGCACAGAGGAAGTGACGGCAGTGAAGGAAAGCACAGAAGGCGTGCCAGCAGCGAAGGAAAGCACAGAAGAAAGAAAAAGACCATCAAAACGAGTTGTAAAAAATCATCCTTCTGAACAGGTGATAGGAGAATTTGATGAAGGTATGAAAACTCGAAATAAGCCCAAAGTTGATTACCAAGAAATGGTCAGGTATGTTTGCTATACTTCTACTATAGAACCAAAAAACATCAAAGAAGCAATTCTTGATGAGTATTGGGTACAAGCTATGCAAGAGGAACTTGAGCAGTTCACTCGACATGAAGTGTGGGAACTTGTTCCACGACCCGACCAGGTAAACGTTATAGGTACAAAATGGGTGTTCAAAAACAAAACGGACGAACTTGGTAATATAACTCGCAACAAAGCTCGTCTTGTTGCTCAAGGGTACACCCAAATTGAAGGAGTAGATTTTGACGAAACATTCGCTCCGGTAGCTCGTCTTGAGTCAATACGTCTTTTACTCTCAGTTGCTTGTGCTTTAAAGTTTAAACTCTTCCAAATGGATGTAAAAAGTGCGTTTTTAAATGGTCTCTTAAATGAAGAAGTGTATGTCGAACAACCAAAAGGTTTTCAAGATCCACTCAAACCTCAACATGTCTATAAACTTAAAAAGGCCCTATACGGTCTCAAACAAGCCCCTAGGGCTTGGTATGATCGACTTACGACCTTTCTAGTTGAAAAAGGATATAGAAGAGGTGGGGTAGATAAAACACTATTTGTCAAAAATTTTAAAAACGAAATCCTTTTGGCTCAAATCTATGTGGACGATATTGTTTTTGGGTCTACTTCTGACCACAAGAAAGATGAGTTTATCTCTCAAATGTCAAACGAATTTGAAATGAGTATGGTTGGAGAGCTAACTTACTTTCTTGGATTGCAGGTAAAGCAGATGAAGGATGGAATTTTCATCACACAAAGCAAGTATGCCAAAAATCTGGTAAGTAAATTTGGGTTAGATAATGCAAAACCTCTAAAAACTCCGATGAGTCCTACTGAAAAGTTGGGACGCGACTGTGAGGGCACAGACGTGGATCCCACATTATACAGGAGTATGATTGGAAGTTTACTTTATCTTACTGCCAGTTGACCTGACATCTGTTTCAGTGTAGGAGTATGTGCTAGGTACCAATCAAATCCTAAAGAAAGTCACTTAAGTGCAGTCAAACGCATCATACGATACGTGAGTGGAACTCTTGAACTAGGAATATGGTACTCCAAAGATACTAATACTTGTCTTGCAGGATACAGTGATGCTGACTGGGCAGGAGATGTGGATGACAGAAAAAGTACTACTGGAGGCTGTTTCTACATGGGAAACAACCTAGTATCTTGGTACAGTAAGAAACAAAACTGCATCTCTTTATCAACAGCTGAATCTGAGTACATAGCTGCAGGTAGTTGTTGCACTCAACTTCTTTGGATGCAACATATGTTGAATGACTATGGCTTTCATGAAAAACTCGTTCATATATTCTGCGATAATGAAAGTGCCATAAATATCTCAAAAAATCCTGTCCAGCATTCTAGAACCAAACACATAGATCTTCGACACCATTTCATCAGGCAATTAGTTGAGCAGAAACGTGTGACTATAGAGTATGTGTCCACAGACAATCAATTAGCTGATATTTTTACAAAGCCCCTCGATTTCCTTAGGTTTGATTCCTTGCGTAAAGCGCTTGGGATTTGCCATGTGCAAAACTGAATTTTCTATGATACGTGCAATTAAAGTTTGTGTCCGGATTGCACTTGAATTTTTTAATCGGACATTATATGTGTCACCTACAAATGTGACATCACTGTTTTTGGACTAGGAATGATTGGAGGTTCATTTTGACTAATTGTTTGTGTGTTAGTTTTGGTGAATTAATTTTTGTTTCCACAGATAACCATGATAGAAGTGTGCTGCCCCCTCTATCGGGAGTGATCAATGACTATGACCTCATTCATCTAAAAGATCATACCTCTATTGGGAGAATTATGCTACCGCATATGCATCTCTGACTTCTATTTAAAAGCTATGTGGATTCTTAAGGAAGTTGCCCTCCTAATGTTTGCTTGAACATCATATCAACAAAAAAAAGGGAGGAGAAGAAAAATTAGTTCGAACTCAAAAAAAAAAAAAAAAAAAAAAAAAAAGAGGGGTTGGGATGATATTCAAGCATATATTAGGAAATTCTCCTTGAAGTCCACGATCGAATTGCTGTGCTAATCGCATATGCATTCATAACCCTTAAAATTTACCTAAATTATGGTTTCTTGAGTATGGTCATGGGGTTATAGTTATATCGTGCATCCAAGAGTTTGCTAGGTGGCCTTCTATTGTGATTCTCTTTAAGATTATCTAATTAATTCATGAAAACCAAGCCCTCAACTTTTAATCTTGTGATCTTCTTGATTTTCTTTTCCTTAAAAAGTTTTTTTTTCCTTTTAAATTTTTTTTTAAATCTTTGGGCTTTGTGAATTTTTGGCTCTAGTTGTCTCTGGCCACGTGGCTATAAGCCATGTCATCTGCCTTCTTTATTTTTTGATGTTTCGTGTGGAGAATATCTTGCTTGTTATTGGTGGCGGATTTTGTGGGATCTTATTCTGATTTGAAAATATCCAGTATCCGAAGAGTCCTCTCTTTTTCTGCCTATTTTCTCGGTCCCTGTGCTTTAAATATCCGCCTCTTTTAGGGTTTGC